TCATGAGTTTGTTTAAGAAGCTTAAAAAAAGCTGTGAAGGGTATTGTATTGTTAAAAGATAAAAGAGGATTGTTTTTGAGTAAATTGATATAGCATAATGTATCAAAGTTATGCCAAAGCAATATTTTTTTTGTTATTATTGACTCAGCAGTGTTATTGTTGAACATATTCTTCTTGAGTAAAATGAGTAGTTAATTAATCACAAGTTTTTTTATCGCTTGAATTTGTTTTTAAAATTTTTTTGAAATTAAATAGTTTCACTTCATCGATAGGAAAATAAAAACGCTTTTTCGTTTATTTTTAAGGAAATTATGAAAATCAAAATGCACTTCAATTTTTCTTACAGAAAACATTCTACTTCTATTTATATTTTTAGATTACATAGCTTATTTTTAGAGCATTGATAACATTTTTCAATTTATCGTTTTTGAAAATGGCAAATGTTTTAATAGCAAAATCGATCTACAAAAAAACATATGTTTCAAAAGTTGCAGCAGCAAAAATCAAAGAAAAAGTAGATCAAGTTGTAAATTCAAATGAAAACAACTTATTTAAAATCGATTGTTTAAAACAAATAGAAAAAGAACAATATAAAAGTTTGATCCATGAACTTGCTTATAAGAAGTCTGCAGAAGAGCTAAAGGACTTGGCAATAATCATGAATGATTTGGGGCGTTTAACTTCTTTTTTAGGAGAATTTAGCGGCGATCTAAAATATTATACCGAGGCTGCAGTATTTTATCAGTATGTCATTGCGATACTAGATCAGAAGCTAAATGAAAAGTTAATAAGAATTGAAGATAAAAATAAATTTATAAAAGAACACCATATAAATCCGTATCATCAGTTGGCCCATATACAAAAGCTATTACTTTTAGCAACTGGTGGCGACCAACAAAAAGCGCTGAATATACAAGAGGAAACGGAAAATTATAAAAATCTATTATCAACATTGCGAGACGAAACTTCTCAAGTAATAAAAGAGTTAGAATCTAAACGTGAACAGGTTAAAATGGATAATCAAAAAGAAAAACTAAAATATCAAAAGTATTATGTAGATGATGTTAGAGCATGCTTTGAAAACATAGCTGATGCAATGAAAAAGTTTTTAAAAAAATTATATTATGATAGTGAACAACAAATGGTAATAACAAGGCCCTGTAAATATGCAGTTATAGGACTAGGTTCAATGGCACTTAAGCAAATGACACCATATTCAGATTTTGAATTTGCTATTTTGACAGAGAATGATGACTATAAGCAAAGTGATGACCCTAAAATAAAAAAGTATTTTAAAAATCTAAGCCACTTAGTAAACTTCAAGATCATCAATTTAGGAGAAAGCATTATCCCTACAAGTAAATATGGTTTAGATCTGAGTCATATAGTAAATGTAGCGGTTAACTTAGATTTAGGAGGTAAAACACCACTCGGAAGAATAGAGGGCGATAAAGTATATGATTTAATACAACCAATTGATATGATGCTTAGTTATGTATATAATAAAGAAAATTGGGCAAGTCATATTGATAAAAACCTGCCATATATATTACAAAACGTTTGTTATGTTTATGGCGATAATAAACTTGTGGAAAATTATAAAAAAAAAGTTACAGAGTTTTTGCGTAGTCATGAAAACGAACAAACCAGATTTAACTGTGAGTTAAGAGCCATTAAAATACTCAATGAAGGTATATTAGAGCTTGACTACCTTCATACAACACCACATCTTAAACCAAAAGAAACCTATTTTAAAGGTGATATACATAAATTTCAACCTGACTTCTTTGATACAGAAGGTCAATTATTTGACGTAAAGCAAGAAATCTATCGGTTACCTGATCGCATGATACATAATCTTGGTTTGTATTATGGTATTGAAGAAAATTGTGCTTGGGATATATTAGATAAATTAGAGGCTAAAGGAATTATTAATTCACAGGCAGCACTTAATTTAAAATATACTATATCTTTTGCTACTTCCATCAGATTAAAAACTTATTCTCATCACAAAGCACAGAGAGACGATATGTCAGTATTTGTCAGACCAGCTAAAACTGAATCTGAACTTAAAGAGAGATCTAAACAGATATTTTATTTAGCTAAAGCAGATTTAGAAGAACACGGCGAGTTGTTTCAATATTTTTATACAGCGTTACCTTTTCATGAAATGATAAAAGATTTTTGCAATCAATATCAGACATTAGACGAAGCATGCAGACTATCTTTTTTTAAAAACAACAATTTTTACAAAGATGATTGTGCTACAAAAGGTTTTATTTATTTTAGATTAGCGCAATATAAAAATGCCGAGCACAATTTCAAGAAAGCGTTAGATGATCCAAATAATAACAATATATGGCAAATAGGGGAAACATTAGGACGTTTATATCTTAGTACTGGTAATTACGATCAGGCTATTAAGCAGTTTGAGTATTGTTCTAAAACGATAAAACTGATTTCTTGTGAGGACCCTCATATTAGTATCTTTAGCGGAGAGTCTTTAAATAACTTAGGGGTCGCTTATAGTTCTAAAAACCGTTATGATGAGGCAGTTGAATGTTACAACAATAGTCTAAAGATATACAAATCTATATACAAAGATGAGCCTAACCCAAACGTTGCCTCCTGTTTAAATAACTTAGGAGAAGCCTATAGAAATATAGGTCAATACGATCAGGCAATAGAAAAATTTAAAGAAAGTTTAAAGGTTATAAAATTAATATGCCAAAGTAAATCTCATCCAAGTTTTGCTGCTTCTTTAAATAATCTAGGATTAGTATATAACCGGAAAAAAAATTATGATAACGCAATTAAATATTATGAGAAAAGTTTAAAGATTCACAAGCTTATTTACAAAGATGAACCGCATCCTCGAGTTGCAGATTGTTTAAACAATATTGCAATAACTTATCGAGCCAATGGACAATATGATCAGACCATCAAGTATTACAAAAAAAGTCTTAAGATTTATAAATTTGTTTACCAAGATGAATTTCACCCCGTTGTTGCTGATACTCTTTATAATTTAGGGATAGCCTCTGCGGCAAAGTTGCAGCATGATGAAGCTGTTAAGTATTATGATGAGTGTATACAAATTTACAAACACATTTACGATGATGAACCTCACCAAAACATTGCTTTATCTTTCAAAAATATTGCAGCTGTTTATAATGCAAAAGGGCAATATGACAAGGCGATTGAGTGTTATGAGGAGAGTCTTAAAGTTTACAAACTAATTTATCAAGATTAACCTCACCCTAGTGTGGTTATTGTTTTAAGTTCTCTAGGAAAAGTGTATAAAAATCAAAATAAATATGACCAGGCAATAAAATACTATGAGGAAAGCCTATTGATGGAAAAACTGATTCATCAAGATAAACCTGATACTAGTGTTGCCGATAGTTTACAAAATCTCGGAATGTTGTTTAAACTTGTTGGAAAACATGATTTAGCAATTAAGTATTTCGAGGAGAGTTTAAAAATGAAAAAATTAATCTATAAAGATGAACATCATTCTAGTTATTCTATTACTTTAAATTTGCTTGGATTTGTTTATGCTGATACAGGTGACTATGATCAAGCAATAAACTACGCTATGCAAAACTTAAACTTAAACAAACTAGTTTATAAAAACCAACCTCATCCTGATGTTGTTGATTGTTTAAATAATCTTGGATTAATTTACAGTGATAAAAAACATTATGATCAAGCAATTAACTGCTTTGAGCAGAGTCTGGCAATGAATAAACTTATATACCATGATAAACCTCACCCTAGTGTTGTTACTATTTTAAATTCTCTAGGATATATGTATAAAAATAAAACCAAATATCATCAGGCAATTAAGTATTATGAGGAAAGCCTAGCGATGGAAAAATTGATTCATCAAGATAAACCTTACCTTAGTGTTGCTGATACTTTACAAAATCTTGGAATGTTGTATAAACTTGTAAGAAAATATGATTTGGCAATTAAATATTGCGAGGAAGGCCTTAAAGTGAAAAAGTTTATTTATAAAGATGAACATCATCCAAGTTACTCTAGTTCTTTAATTTTTCTTGGATTAGTCTATGCTGATACAGGTGATTATGATCAAGCGATCAACTACACTACGCAAAACCTAAATTTAAACAAACTAATTCATCAAAATCAACCTCATCCTGATGTTGCTGATAGTTTAAATAATCTTGGTTTAATTTACTACGATAAAGGGCAATATGATCAAGCAATTAACTGCTATGAGCAGAGTCTAGCAATGAATAAACTTATCTACCAAGATAAACCTCACCCTAGTGTTGCTTATTCTTTCAATAGTCTTGGGTTACTTTATATTAGTATTGGAAAGTATGATCAGGCAGTTAATTACTGTCAGGAAAGCCTTAAAATTTATAAACTAGTCTACCAAAATGAACAACATCCAGATGTCGCTCATTCTTTATACAATTTAGGTATAGCTTATTTCTCTAAAGAAAACTATGATCAGGCAATTCACTACTTTGAACAGAGCCTACAAATGGAAAAGCTTATATATAAAAATCAACCTAATCCTAGAACTGCTGAAATTTTACATAACCTTGGGTTAATTTATGTTAATAAAAAGCAATATAAAGATGCCATTAATTTCTATGAGCAAAGCCTAGACGTAAAAAAACTTATCCTCCAGCACCAACCTCATCCTAGTATTGCTATTTTGTTAAACAATCTTGGATTGGTTTATGCTGACATAGAGCAATATGACCAAGCAATTAAATACCATCAGCAAGCTTTGCAAGTTATACAAGTTTTTGAGAATCATCCTTATACAGCTAATATAGAAAAATGTTTTCAAAAAACAGAGGCAGCATTTGTTGAAAAATCTTCTTCAAATCCGCAAGAGATAACTTCATTAATGCTGCGTCAACGACAATCAAGCCCGCAAGAGATACCCTCATTAATGCTGCGTCAACAGCAATCAAACCCGCAAGAGATACCTTCATTAATTCTTCGTCAGTAGCATTCAAGCTGGTCCGTTCAATTTTTCTTTTTTAAATAATAATTTTTAGTCCGTTCAATATTTTAGTATTTTATTTATTTTATTGTATTATAAAGACCATAAAGTTATGTTTTAAAAAAATAGAAAAATAAGAATTTTTTTTTACCTCAATATATATATGAATAAAGTTATTAACACTTTATGTTTTTAAACACGATTTGAACTTCATAGTGATTCAAACTAGGCCTGGAAGTTTTTTCCCACGATTCTCTTTATCATTACCTGATTTAGGGTTGATGCAAACTTGTTTACATCACGTTTTGACAATCCAGTTTGACAACAAGGAGATTTTGAGCAGCTAATGCATCTGCAGCTGAAAATTATCTACGTTTAAAAAGTCTTTCAAAATAATAATAATAATGAACCCCAAAAATACATTACCTGAAACTACAGGAAGCGGTTTTTCTTTTTCTTGATTCTTTCTTACAGTTCCATGAGGTGATAAAGACTTGTTTAGAAATACAAAAAAAACTACTTTTTCAAATGAACTACCATCTTTTGTGGCATTCAACAAATTTAATCTAAGAGTTTAGTTCAACTATAAGGAAGATCTCTACCAATAATGTTGAACATCCTTTCTTAATGGCTGGTTTTATTTTTTTTTATTTTTTAATGGCTGTTTGTTTTTTAAGATGAACCATTTGGATAGTGCTAATTTGCAAAGGGTCATTAAGTTTTGTTTTTCCAATTCAACAACTCAAGGATTAAAACTATGCTGTTACTGTTTCTTTGGCATTTTGTAAAAGTAAAGTCAGCACACTTAAAGATTAAAACTATGCTGTTACTATTTCCCAGCAAACATTGTTTGTTTAATTTTGACTGAAACCAAAATTCAAAACAAAACAACACTTTATATTTCAATAAAATTAAATTGCAGTTTTTTAAACAAGTTTTAAACTCCAAATCAAAATAAATTTAATTTAAAAATATTGATTTACATTAAAAAGTTTCTCCCACGGACGAAATAGTTTGATTTTAAAATCTATGCCAATGTGACCGTCTATTCGTGCAATACAATAATACAAAAGATTTCTCTCGGGACGGAAAGTTTAAGTTAATTTGCATTTTGTGACAGTTACATGTTAAAACTACTTTTTCATGTCAATTTATTATAAACACTTATTCAAACATAAGTTTTTTCCAATACTTAAGACCAAAATTACATTTTTAATTTTATATATGCTCTTGAAAAGCATCTTATGACTGTATATTTAATTTATTTCGGAATATATACTAAGAAAATATCAACCTTCAATAATTCATTTAAATCTTAACTATACACAAATAAATTTATTGTGGCTACAAATTAGAACATCTTAAAATATTTTAAACAAAAAAAAAAAAATGCTCTCTACTATTATGCATCTTATAATTTACCACTGATCTGCTATTGTATAAATAAAATACTACTCTATTGCATAAATAACATACGCTAAGCATGATGCTTTCATAGCAACTTGACAAAAAACAAATAAAGAAGCTAGATAACTTAATACTTCTTTTAAAATAGAATTGTAATTTCTGATCAGCTTGATTAGAAAATCCCATTCTAATCCCAGTAGAAATTCAGATTTGGTTTGTTTAAAACTCTTTACACCATATGGGACCCATCTGGAACCTTATCCTAGTGATTCCAGCTCAATATCAGTCAATCCTGCCTAGGACCCAGTTGGAATAATTAACTGGGATATTTGCTTTTCATAAATTTATCTTAGATTTTCTTTTCTTTTTTTTTGAGTTGCTTAACGTACACGGTTTTGAATAATCAGCTCAAAACTTACGAAGCTACAATCCCGATAAGCTATAAATTAGAATCTGATGCACTGACAAAATGTTTCCAAGTATTATACAGTATCAATAAAGTAAAAAACAAGATTCAGAATACAAAGTCTCTCTTATTCTTGTAGTTAAAATAGAATACTTTAAAAAGTGCCAACGTTTATGGTGATGTTTGAGGAGAAAACATTGCGAAGCAGACAGTATACCTTTGGTCGGATGTCATGCCAATCATTAATAAAAATGAAATCAAAGAGATGCTTAACAGAGTTCCAGTTAAAATTATTGAGTTGAGGAAAAAATATTCAACAAGGGCTCTGGCTGTTCCTCAGTCACTGTGAATCACTGTTGATTAAATTCACTTAATACTATACGTTCCGTAGAAAAGAGCTGCATTAAAAAGCCTGTTTGCATATCTAAGCGATATGTAAATAATGTGAATAATACAGGTAACAGATGTTTCAAATAGACCATTTTATCTTCCAAACACCTATCAAGTGGTCATGTTGACCGTACAGCTAAGTACAGTAATCATCTCTGAGGGGTGTGCTGTGATGGTATCAGTTTTATTGTGAAAGTAAGTAATGCTTCAAGATTTGAGCGCCTAAGATAACACTACCTCAAAAAGATTAAATTGCGTAGTCATACCTACGGACGTTCAAATTTTACTTTTTGAAAATAAACTAAGAATGCGGAAATAGCTAATTATAGCTATTTATAAGCCTCCTAATCAGAAAAATGACTATTTCTTCGTCAACCTTAGAGGGATTCTTGATTTTTACTTACAATCGTATAATGATTATATAATTATTGGAGATTTTAATTTACAACCTCATAATAAAATAATGAACGAGTTTCTCTGCCTTTATCAATGTAGTAATTTAATTAAAGCACCAACTTGTTTTAAATTGGTTGTAAAACCCACGTGTATAGATCTCATCCTAACAAATAGAAAAACGTGTTTCTAACACTCTAAGACTATCTGTACGGTTGTTAGTGACAACCACGATCTTATTTTTACAATGCTCAGGGCTACCTTCTGCAATTTACCTCCGAAAAAATTAATTTACAGGTCTTTTAAAAACTTTCCAAGTGTTATATTTTCTGAAAAAATAAAAAATAAGATAAGATTTTGTAATGATATTAATGAGTTTAACGCTATATATAACAACAATTTGAAAACTCACCATTGAAAACTGAAATCTTAAGTGGTAACGATAAGCCGTTTATGACTAAGAATTTTAGAAAAGCAATTATGCTTCGCTCAAAATAAAAAAAAATTCCAGATTGAAAAATCAGACATTTTTTTGTCTCTTTATAGGAAACAAAGAAACTACGTAGTGAACTTGAATAAAAAAGCAAAGAAAATATATTTTAATGAGATAAATTTATTCAAATCATCCACTATATCTCTATGGAAGATATGCAAGCCTTTTCGTTCTAATAAATCTGGTAATTCGAGCGATCGCATAACGTTAATTGAACATGAGGAAACTATTTCGGATAACTTTTAAATTTCAAACATTTTTAACTTATATTTCACTAACGTTACGTCGTCTCCTATAAAAAGTGAGATGAAATATCGTCCTTCTCCTTGCAATGTACATGTTTCTGTTGAATCTGCTATTATAAGATATGCAAACCATCCCAGTACTATAAACATTAAAAACATATCCAAGTTATATCCTCAAAATTTTAAATTTCATCAAATTTCTCCTGATGATATAACAAAAATTATTTGTTCTTTAAATAGTAAAAAGAAGACTAGTGAAGATATTCCAACGTTTATGTTAAAAACATATGTCACGGATTTGAGAGAAAGCCTCACTTCTTGTATAAATAATTGCATATCACAAGGCGATTTCCCGTCTTTCTTAAAAATGGCCAATATTATACCATGTTTTAAAAAAAAATGACTCTGCTGATAAGTGTAACTTTCGCCCAATAAGTATTCTTCCAGTTCTCTCAAAAATGTTTGAAATCGTTATTTAGGATTACAGGTTTTTATAGAGCAGGCAAATACAGGTTTTTATAGAGCCAAGCTTTAACAAATAGCTGTTTGGATTTCGGAGAGGGTATAGTGCGCAGTACGCATTTTTTAATTTAGTTATTAAGTGACAAGAATGCTTGGATAAAGGAGGTATAGTTGGCGCTATGAATTTATCAAAGGCATACGGTTTAATTCCACATGATTTGATTATAGCTAAGTTGGAAGGTTATGGGTCTTCTTATGAGTCTCAATCTCTTATTATCTTTCTGCTCACAAACAGAGGGTATGACTAGGATTGTCATTTTCTGAATATTTAGATATGAAATCTGGTATACCTCAAGGTTCAATTTTGGTACCAATTTTCTTTAATATTTTTATCAACGATTTTTTTATAAAAGACTCCGAAATCTGCAACTATGCTTATGACAACACTCTTTCTGTTTGTGACAAAAACCTAGAGAGTGTTAATGCAAATAGAAACATTAAACGCGATTTCATGGTTTACTTTGAATAAAATGGTTGCAAATCCGGACAAATTTCAATTTTTTTTAGTTGGCTTCAAAAATTGTAAAGATCAATTTTTAATGGTTTGAAATGTAAAAACTATGGTTTCCTCTAAGGTTAAACTTCTCGGGGTTACAAATGATAAGGATTTGAAATTTGATGATCCCATTAAAAATTTGTGTGGAAAAGCGAATGGTAAATGCTTCGCTCTTGCACGAATAAGGAGCTTCTTATCAGTAAAACAAGCTACTGTTTTATTCAATGCTTTTATACTGTCAAATTTTTCCTATTGTCCTTTGATTTGGATGTTTTGTTCGAAGTAAAATAATAACCTAATTAATAAAGTTCATCAAAAAGGACTTCGCATTGTCTATAAAAGATTTGATCTCCCATTAGAAGAAATTCAAAAAATAGAAAGTTTCCCAAGTATTCACCTTAGAATTTTAAGGTTTTTATTAAGTGAAGTTTTTAAATCTATAAATGGTTTAAATCCAGATTTTATGTTAGATCTTTTTATCAAAAAATCCCTGCCGTTAAGTCTTTGATGAAGTAAAAAATTAATACTCCCACCCATAGTCTCTAAACATTAGTTCATAAAAAGTAACTTATATAGAGCAACCTCGCTATGAAATCCCTAGACAATGAAACTATGTCAATAAATTATCTAAAGATGTTCAAAAAAAGTATTTTAAAACGTGGCAGAAATTCTTGTTTTTGTGAAATCTGTCAAAAATAACTTTTTTAATTTT